GAACAAATGCCGCTGTGGGTCTCTTCGCAGTTGAATCCTAATTTTATTTCTACAGCAGTGTTTTGTATGAGGACAGGCACCATCACACAATCCCATCTTGTGGGAGGTTCACATTTCATCAAATGCTCCCATTCCAGTTAGACAATTAATTGGCTTCTTAAACATTGTTTATTGAGCCCTGCTCTGTGGAACTGGCTTCCAAAATGTCTCCACCTCACTTACCCTCTTCAAAATCCTCCAAAAAGCTTACATTTTGACCAACATCCCTAATTTTTCCTTTACTTCTCTCTACCATTGTTTGTTAATTGCTTTAAGGCATTCATGGTACTCGCTTTATAAATGCAACCTGTTGTTGCATAGAATTATACAGAATCACATAGACTGTGTTGCATGGAATTAGTCCACTTGGCCCAACTATTCCGTGCCAATGTATACACTCCACAAGAGCCTCAATCTCTCCTAATCCCCTCTCCCACACACCTCCCTTATACAGCAGATTTTTGCATATCTTTTAACTTCAATGTTCTGTCATTTCGCCATTCCACTTAATGCCATTATACTATCAAGTTCATAACAACTCATCATTTCAGATTATCCACCCTTCTCATTACAACACCAAGCTGTTGGTTACATTCAGTGTAAAGAAATACTTCCTGGCATCTGTTGTAAACGTGTAAATGTTCTACACAACCCTGAACCTATATCTTCTTGACCTACTGTTGTGGCTTGTGTGTCAGGCTGGCACACTTTCACCTCTGAATCAGAAGGTTGTGGGTTCAAGCCCCATGTCGAGACTTGGAATCACGTAGTCTAATGCAGTGCTGGGGGGGTGTTCCATTGTCGGTGGTGCCGTCCTGAGATGAGATGTTAAACCGAGGTCCCTTCTGCCTTATCAGGTGTATACTAAAGGTCCCATGGCACTATTTGGAAAGAGAAGGGAGTTTCTCCAGATGTCCTGGCCAACAATCCCCCAAATAAACTTGGTCATTCACTCCATGGCAGTTTGTGGAAAATTGCAAACTGGCTCCTGCGTTTTGCCCACAAAATACACAATTACTGTGCTTTTCAGTATATTCTGTGAAGCACTTTCAGACATCTCTACGACATGCTATATCACACTCAAGAATTATTATTATCTGAAAGTATTCTTTCCTGTTCAAAAAGGTTTATCAAGACCCAGGAAAAATAAATGAAAAATAAAGTGCACACATACTCCTGGGAACATGCATGTTATGTAAGTCAGGTCCCTGCGTGCTAGAATCCTGCAGTAGTGTATCTGTTCACCCTCTTTGTAACCTTGGGTACATTAATAATGTATAATAATTTCAACTTGATTTGAAAGGATTTTAGCATTGTTGTATTCCAATGGTAACCTCTTTCCCCCACTAGGAATTTGTCTGATTTTGTTTTATTCTGTTATGAAAAGAGCTGACTTGAGCTGATAAAACTGCAGCCACTCCAGTTTAGTTATACTGTAGTATACTGCAATGGCCAGTCAGTAGGAAACAGAACAAGAAGGGAGCCTATTAATGGAGCATTGGAGTTGAAATGAATAATCCTTCTATTTGATATAACACATTATCACATTGTCAAAAGGTCTCAAACTGCTTCTCAGCATTTTACTGTGGAGTGTAATGACTGTATGTATTGTAGGCAAACAGGGCAGTCAATTTGCATACAACAATATCCCACAAACAGCCATGAAGTGAATGATCAAGCACTTGTTGGGGAAATAAATACACATATACAGTCAGCACACTTGACACTAAAATCCTGTGAAGTGCTTTGAGACGTTGCGGCAAAGTGATAAGGCGCTATACCAAATGCAATGATGATGATGATTATTATTATTTTTATAAAACAGTGTGAATGGCACCTCACATCAAGAAAAATGCCTTAGAATGTAAAGTGAACCCTATGGAGGTTATGCCAACTTCAGATATATACGGTTCTCTGGAGGAGATGAACTTTATTTCCCAAAGTGCCTTTTCAAATGTGAGACATGCTTATGGTTCCATTTTCCAAACTGGTGTTTTTTCAACCCAATTCCCTTCATGGAAGAGTACTTGGCAAACCTTCGTTCGTTTGATCACAACCACGTAAAGCACATTATTTTGATCAGCTTCATGCTGACAACTCACACCTTCCTTGGCTCTCTTTTTTCAAACATTTTTACTTGGAGGTGGCATCCTTTTAGGTGAGGATCACAACTGTTTGGGGAATGACAAAGAGCCAAGCGGAGCTTGATATTTCATTACAAGTTTTGGTCTCTGTAGTCTGGTTCCTTAGGCAGGCGAGTCCACACTACTCCAGGTAGTGATGACAGACCAGCCAGTCTGGCTTATCAGTAGGACTTGGAAGGGAAGATGAGTCACTGGGGGCAGGGATTCCACCCACTCAGCTCCTGTTAACTTTGCACACCATCCTAGCCATCCCAGCACAGTAACCCGCTCTTGCCAACATACATCTCATACTCTTCAGAATTAGATAAGCAGCATGTGCATTCCACTAGAGATACAAATAAATTCACATGTGTAGGTGGCATTTAGTCTAATTTGCATACTTTTAAACATGGTGATGGGTTTCTGCATATGTCAGGCACCAAAAAAAATTAAACTCGCTCTACTTTTTTTAAAAAATTGAAGTTAACACCCCCCCACCCCAAAACAAAATCACTAATAAAAATGCATTGAAAGATTTCTGTTTTCCATGACAATCTTATCACAGTATATTCTGTGAAGCGGTTTGAGACATCTCGAAGATGTGATAAGGCGCTATATCAAATGTAAGGATTATTATTATTGACTTGTTCAGAGCCTGTCCAAAAAACTCCCCATTTCACCCACAAAATACATATATCATATCACTTAGTTTATAGAATATCCCACAAAGCACTGTGAGATGCTTTGACTACGTGATAAGGCACAATATCAAATGTAAGGATTATTATTATTCTCCTGTTAAACAGGCACTCTCTTCAAGTGCTTAGCAAGTCTCTTGTAAGATTTCTGGAATGCATGAGGGGTGCTATATAAATGCAAGTTATTGTTTGGGGAAGAGGGCAAAATGGAAAACAAGGAGAGGAAAACAATTAGATCCAGTACAAGTGATGGGATAAACATTCCATTGCGACTCATGTTAATTGCACCATGTATTTGCAAACAATTGTGATATCAACCTTTTGCGTACTGCAAAGGAGCCCCCAAATCTCAGAGATAGTGGAGTCCTGTAGCATATTGGGTAGAGCACTCGGCCACAAATTACGCAGTTCATTCACTTTACAGTATATTCTATGAAGCGCTTTGAGACATCTTAGCGAGTGATAAGGTGCTATATCAAATGCAACAATTATTATAGATAGGAGCCATTCATATTAAGAAGAGTTACTCTGCTGAGAGGCATTATACCCCAGCCCTCTCCACACAACCATTTGAGGTAACAAGATTTACTATAATCAGCCAAAAGAGCAGCAGCTGAAATGTTGTGAAAGTCTGCTGAAATGCATTACACCAGCATGTAGGTATGAGATGTGCAGGTCATTCAAAGTGAATTACGAACACATTTCCTTAGAAAATGTATGGGTCTGCTTGACATATAACCTCGCAGCATATTGTTACACCGCTAGGTACATTACTGCATCATAAATATTCTCTGCCAGCTCCGCTTCTTTAGATCTACTTTATAAAGGCTAATGAAGCCAGCAAGTAATTCACAAATGCAAATAACGATAAATCCTACGTGGCAGGAGGTCTAATCACTGTTGACCTGGCTTCTGTGGGATCCCATTAGTATTCCTCAGCACATTATGTTCAGAAGCTTTCACCCAGCCCACCAGCTGAGAAACTGCAGTGCTGGACACATACACACACATTGTGGAATATGTATTTATTGTCATTCTTTCCATTCCATCCACCCCTCGGCCTATGCTGAGCTGTGAGCCCCGCACAGCAGAGCACTCGCCTCGCAAGCAAGAGAACTTGGGTTTGATCCCCAGGCAGGGCGAAACCTTAGGCAAGTTTCTTCACTCCACACGCCTCTGTTTACCTAGCAGTAAGTCAGAACCTGGTTGTTAGTTGATTGGTGGATTGTTTTTCCGGGGGGGTAATATCCCTTCAGAAAAATATATTTTAAAAAAATAATAATTTAGTCACTTAATCCACGACTGTTTGTGGGACACTGCTGTGCACAATTGTCTGTGACATTTCGCACACAAAATATTTCAGTCAATTCACTTTACAGTATATTCTGTGAATTGCTTTGAGACATTTTGAAGACATGATACGGTGCTATATCAAATGCAAGGATTATTATTATAAGAAATAGAAATGACAAGTCAAAAGAAAGACAGTCTTCATTCACGAATAACCCGAATAAAATACTGGTATCAGAATTCCCCCAGGTCACTGCCCACTGTAACTGGACCCTTAATAGCCCTGCCTGATTGCAACAGCAGAGCCAGAGAAAAAAATCCTATAATTCACTTCAATTGGCCATAAGAGGTGTTTCATAACAACCAGCAGGTGGAGAAGTAACTTGCTACATGGCAAGAGAGGCTGCATTGGATGCAGTTTCCATTACAGAGCAGAACACAAGTACATAGCTACCAGCAGCAGAAGCTTTAGCCTACAGCAGCAGCAGCAGCAGACCCTCAGGAGTTAATGAACTTATACAGTGTGGACTTCTCTCCTCCCTTCATCTCTCTGATTCTCTCTCCCTCTACTTATTACCCGTGGGCAAAACTAACCTCTGTCAACTAAGTGCTCTGACGCCATCCTACTGGCAGCAGGGGACCATCTCATCAATTCTCTCTGTCTCAAATCAGAGCAGCAGGCTGAGCCTTGCTCTCCATCACTCTCTCTCTCTCTTTCTCTGAGCGTCTTCTCTCATTTGTTTTCAACCTGGGTTAAAGGATCCACAGCCTTTCATTAACTGGGCACTTGTATAAATGACTTATAAAGCCAGCCTGTGCACTCCACTCAAAGCCTCGAGTTGCATGGGAAATGAACGTTACAGGGAAGCACCTTCCACCACTGCTTGAACGCCCTGTCAGCCTTCTTGTACCGACTTGGGCAAGTACACTAATTTATCTCTTATTTGCATATATATCGTGCTGCGAGTTAGACATTGCAACCTTTGCAGATTAGCAAGGAATCTGCTTCAAATTTGATTCATTTCTTGTGTGGTCATTCATTTTCTTTCTCCCCCCCCCCTGTGCTTTATGTTGCTCACTAGATTTAACTCATATTCCTTGGTAGTAAGTGACTCGGTTTCCATGGCTGGATTTTGTTTTAATGTGAAGAGATGGCTCAGAGCTGACCTGTGTTGTCTGTGCCTGGCATCTGTTCATGTGAAATCTCTGCTTAATGTATTTTGTTTTTTTGCTGTTTGGTCAAGAGCAGAGGGCAGATCACTTTGAAATCAGATATTCAAGTGTTGTCTCATGACATGATTACTTTAATTTACTTTTTTTGTAATAACGAATCATTTGAATGAATGGTTAAAACCCAGGAGAAGAGGCAACATGAGAATAAAGTTGTTTTGTAACTCAATAGTCAGAAATCAGTTTTTTTTCTTAAGAGGTACTGTGTCACATTAACTCAAAATTGAGCTGACATAACTCAGAGAGAATTAAAATGTTAAGAAATTGACTTTCTGCTGTTTAAAGTCAGATCTTGCGCATTCGGGAGTGTGTATAGTCTGCGAGAAGCTGCAATGGATTAAGATTCTTCATGAAAACTCTCATGAAAAGCTTCTGTTAACTCTGAGGTCTGAGAGTAGATTTCAACACAGAAAGTAAACGAACAGTCTACAACAATAACAACTTGCACTTATACCCTCCCTGCTTTTTAAGGGCAAGTTGTTGTTGTGCAAATCTAGCCAAGTTTGCTCTGTGAGGACTTTTTTCAAAAAAAGACCAAACAAAAAGGACAAAAATTCTTGTGAATTTGTCTGATTTTTCTGTAAACACTCCACAGCAGAAACGTGCATTGTTAATTCTTCAAACGTTGACCTATGAAAACTGCAGTAAACGCCGTTTGTATGGAGACGCACAATCTTTCTGTACCGTTAGCAAGAGTTGCTGTAACTGTGTTTGATGGGCAGTAGTTTGATGTCTCTCTGGGTTTGTGTTTTTCTTCAAAAAAAAATCCCTGACAATTGCCTACGTGTACGTTCTCAGACAGATCATGGCAATGTTGCACACTACATCAAAAATCTGATGTGCTGGATGAATAGAGATGATGGATGGACTGTGGTGACTATTCAGTAAAGCTGATTCTCCCCCTCCCCCCTTTCTCCATGTTTGCTGAATGTGCTACAGGAGTAACGTGTTGATCCAGTTAACAGACAAAAAAAAAACTCAGCTTCTGCCCTCTCAAACCTCTTGCTGGTATCTTAAATAACCATGTCAATAGATGTGTTTTTTTTAAAAAAATAATTCACAGTTGCACTAATTCAGTGAGCAGAGCACTAGCAGGGGATTGACTGTTCAACTCCAATTGATGATCAGGAGTTTTATTTAAATAAATCTTTTCAATTTTCTAATGACTCAAATCTTTTCTTTTATTGGGAAGGGGATGGGTATGAAGCAGAATAAGGGAGGGAGCGAGAGAACTTGTGAATGGCTGCAATAAATTTAAACTAACTGCAAAACTGTTTGAAATATTGCAAGATGTCAGGCAGGCAGACAGATGTTGGGGACTTTGTCTTTCATAATAACAGTAATAATAATATTCTTGCATTTGATATAGCACCTTATCGCTATCATTCTTCTATATTTAGTGCATGTACGCTGTTTGTTGTGAGGGATACAGTATTTATATTTTAAAAAATACAGCTGGTAAAGTTGAGAGGATGAGATTGATTCTGTGCATTAGTTTTCAGTGCAAAATTCATTTCTGCCCAGGACTGTGACAGACTGATAGCAGTTTTAAAAAGACTGTTGCATGTAATATTTTGACATGCAAGTACTTAATCTGGAGCACAGCAGGGCTCTGCAGGGGGAAGGCAGACACTGTGTTGGAATCCCACTGCCAGTCTTTATTCATGTGTATCAACAGGGAGATTTTACTAATGAGATTTCTTTACCCTCCAAAGGATAACCTTGAAAACTGGTGCTCTTTAGCCAAATCCAATCGATATTGCCTCATTCATCACACACTTGTGAGTTATAAGGTGCAATGTGGTCACTGAGAAAGAAAAAAAACATTTCTGTAAAATGAGTGTTTTGGCAGAATTGAATACCTGACTTCTCCCCTCGAAAATAACCATTATTGCTAAAAGGAAAGTTTGCATGCAGAAACAATATATTCAAGCAAGGAAAGCTTCTGAGACTGATTAACTTTTTACCTGATTGACTTACTAACAATATTTCCTCTTGACTAAATGTCCATGGAAATGGGTATGGAACTTCACAGAGATTTATCTTATTGGGAATTCTACCAAATAAATGATGGCATATTTGAATAATCTGTAAAATGAATAAATTGTCATGGAATAAATGATTCAACAATTTATATAAGGCTTGTTATTGAGTTATAAGATCATGAACCGAGCATTGGTATTTGGATTTTTTTTAGATATTTTACATTGTTTCCACTTGTGCTATACATCTGTCTCCCAGCACCATGCAACACCTTGGACCCAATGTCCAATTGGCAACATAAATAAACTAATGCAATTCTATCATTCACCAGTAGGAGGTGCATAGGATCAGCATAGAGTGACCCACAATGAAGTGGTTGCCCTCCACTAGATGTGAAATATCATGAATTTAACCAAAATCTACCATCCTTTACGCTCACCTACAAAATACCGTCACTGCACTCCACAGTAAAACCTATAAAATGCCTTGAAATGTTTTGACGATATGATAAAGTGCTGTTTTGAATGCAAGGATTATTATTATACCAGTACAACAATAAGACTCAACATCTAACTGTTATTCAGAGAATTTGCTTTCAAAACATGCTTATAATGTGTAGTTAGCACTGTGTACATAGACAAACATTGCTGAAAATGCTTTGAAAGGGATGTTGACCAAATAACATGGGAATTGTTTGCCAGGACATCAGGAGAAACTCCTTTCTCTTGTCAAATAGTAACCATGGAATGTTAATGTTCATCTGAAGAAAATACACATGGAATTTTGGTTTAATACACTTTGGCTACCATCAATGTCATCTCTTTTGCGGATCTGAACTCCTCATCCTCCCCAAGCGCTTCCTCAGACTCACAGAACCTCTGCGTAACTTAGGCGTCCGGTTGAATCCCAGGGTTTTCCTTTCTACCCCACATCCGTTCCCTGACCAAGACCACTTTTTTCCACCTCCGTCACATTGTCCGCCTTCGTCTGTACCTCACAACCAAAGAAGCCCAAACCCTCATCCACTTCCTGTCTGGACTATTCCAATGTCCTCCTCACTCGTCTCCCCAGCTCCACCACATACAAAATCCTCTTACTCGTTTTCAAATCCCTTCATGCCCTCGCATCTCCCTACCTATCTGACTTGCTTACCCCCCCACTCCACCATCTGCTGTCTCCGCTCGGCTGGCTCCGGCCTCCTGTTTGTCCCTCGTCCACTCCGTTCCACCATCAGTGTCTGTCTGGAACTCTCTCCCTCAATCCCTCTGTCTTGCCCCGTCCCTCCCTATTTTCAAATGCAGCCTAAAGATCTTCCTTTTTGATTGTGCTTACGGTCACCTCCCGCCTTCCCTCTCCCCCTGGCTCGGTGTCGGACTCTGCCACTGTCAAGCGCTCAGGACACCTCCACGAAGGGTGCTATATAAATGCAAGTTGTTGTAAATGCCTCATATGAAAAAGAGGACATCCAACAATGCAACACTTTCCCAGACTCAAGCAGGTAATCGAACCTCCTGATCTAGAGGCAAGAATGCTATCAACTGAACCAAGCTGTGAGAGTTTGCTTAATGTTGCTTTAAGATGCTGAGAGGGAGAGATGCTATGCACAAAATCAGTTTTGACTCAGTCCATTTGCTCAGAACTAGAGAGTATACTTTCAAAATTAATCCAGTGAGACTAGAGTTTGGATACAATCAAACTCCTAAAAAGTATTTCACGTTGATGGTTTGATTTATTTAAAAAAAAGTGTGTGTGTGGCTATTGTTCAGGTCAAGACAATGTCAATAATTATTAAAACACTTTGGATTGTAATTTACAATGGTGCAATAATTACCATGCATTGCATTTTTCCTCGGCCAAATCTTTACTATCCAAGTTTTTAAATAATATAATAATCCTTGCATTTGATATGTCGCCTTATTGTTGAGATGTCTCAAAGTGCTTCACAGAATATATTATGAAGTGCACTGATAGTGTATTTTGTGGGCAAAATCATTCTTTGTTTACACAACCCAAACAATTTTACAATATGCATTTTGAGGGCAGTGAATTCCAAATCCTCACACCCCTTTGTGTGAAGAAATGATCTGACTATTGTCCAGTTTAAGTCTCATTTGTCGTCTTGTTTTTGCAACACTCCACCAGTGAGAAGAAGCCATCTCTCCATCCATTTTATTCCTCTTGTTATCTTAAACACATTAATCAGATCACTGCTTAGCCTGCTCGACTCTGGGAAATATAACTTATGAGCAGAAATACAATGGCAAGAGACAAAACCCTTCTGCATTTTTATATCTGTCTGTCTTAACCAAATGCTACCTATTTTCTAGCTGAATCAGCATTATATACAGTAAATATGTTATCTTGCCACGTATACAAAAAAAGGAAAAATGTTTATACATGAAACACTGTAACGAGAGCTGCACACTGATAGCATGTAAAGTTTTTTTGTTTATTTGTTTCTTTACCTTGTTTCAAGTAATTGTTTTGTCTCAGCTGCCGCAGTGGGGTCCATATGCTGTAACACAGTAGATTGGGAAAACTTTTCAAAGGGAGCAGGCATGGGATCGAGAGGGTGGATGTCAGATAAGCCTGCTTCGGCTCTTGTTAATTCACTATCACAAATTCAAGTGTGAATGTGAAACCTTGATATCATTTATTTAAAATTTGCTAAATTTCCAGTATTTCAATGTTTGCAAATGGGGAATT